TTGTGGACATTAATTTTTTAAATTAAGTATATTATTATGTTTGGATCTGTTAAAGGTAAACGGTCGCCGCCGGACGGTCGGTATAACTTAATAAACACATACGGTACTTATAATTTATACATTATTTATGAATTGCCGTACTATGTTAAGTTTTTTTAAATGCAATGTTTATAATGAAAAATCATTAGTAATCTTTCAGAGATTAGTACCTAATGCCTAATGAAAGCATTATATTATAACTGCTCAGGTTAAAATACATATTTTTCATTACTTAATGTGAATATTAATAACACAGTGGTTTATCTAGTGTTAAGACATAATACAGTATACTGTATACTTACTTATTTTATTTATTGTATTTTAACTTATGATTATGCGCATCAAGTCTTGTACTCAAGAAAGTTAAACACGACAGTCAAGTATTCAACGATGGGATTAATCACTGTGACACGAGAAAGAAAGTGGATGTCAGCGCACTACCGATTTGTTTTCTCTCTCTAGCCCACGTAGAACATAACAAATTTGCGTTCAGGAGATCCAATTTTGTATTGTTAGCTTTAATATTATATTAGAATGAATTGAAATTTGACATAATATTAACAAACTTAATTTTAAATATTATATAAGTATATTAGATATCTAGATGATGAACTCATAGGTTTTTATTAGTATTTTAAATTTTAACTTTTAAAATGTGCTATGAGCGTTTTAAAATAAATAATATTGTATATAGTCATAATATAACTCATAAATATTCTGTGTTACCAGTGAGCCAACCAGCGAAGCAAATAAAGTGTACTGACATCCTTTTATGCTATGAAAAAATAAAAAGTGGCTTAGTTTCACTAAAAACATTTTTAATTTGGATGGCACACCTAACCTTATAATTGATCATCGAAGGTAATTTAAATATTTAAATAAAAACATAAAAAACAATGGCAATCATTTTACCGAACGTCGAACGACGATTGATCGCTAAATCCCAATTTATCGAAAATTATTGACCATGAATCGCTGATTGAATCTTATCTCATGTGTTAGTCACCATCTGTCGTTGCTTGTACAGTTTGACAACTTGCCATATAAGTAAAACAAAAATTGCTTATCGTGTATTAAACTACAATTATGACAAAGTGGCTATATACTTAAAGTATAGGTAGTTTATTTTAAGGGTAATATTAACTGTGGGTACCTATGTTACATCTATCAGTTAGGTATCTTCATAATATTATATTAGTTAATTTATATATTATACAGAATTGAATTCTGTAGACAGTAATTTGTCCCCATAAACTTGCTAGTGCCAGTGGCACTCACCTATATTATATGGGTGGGATATATTTATATATATATATATTTGTTATTTGTACAGAATACATTAGTATTGTTTTAAATTTACTTTTTGTATTCGGTTCGGATACTGAAAATCCCGTTTATTCAGGGATCCTTTGATATTAATTAGGTAAGTGTCATAGGGGATGATGAGCGAATTCGGTGAGCTAAGTCATACCTATTACATTATGAAATATTAGTTTTTATTCAAACCATTATTATTCTGGAAAAAGAAGTAGAATGAGATAGATCTCGATTCTCTCATTAAATCTGGACCATAGAAAAACAACTAGGTATCAGTTTTCCCATTCTTCTCCATAATAATATGTGGATTAAGCTTATTGGCACCATTTGGGTACACCATAATAAAAATAAAAAACGAGTCACGTGCGATACGTCGCTCAACATTATATTACACAAATATTGTGTAGGTAAACTCGATTATTGTCATTTAATGTGAACTAAGGTAGGTAATGAGGGAAGTTGCTTCAATATCACCATTATACGCTAATAATACATCAAATCACATGTTTTTAGATTTCACTAGAAAATGAATACTGCAGAATTGCGTTGTAATAAAATACCTATACCACTTGGTATTCATCTTATTGCGATTTATCATTTTATGGAATTCAGGTAGTAATATTATTGAGATACACGTGTATAATATTATATTGGTTATTTAGTATCTACGTGAATTCATATAATATCATCTTACAAGCAATTCAGGCCTGGAGATGTCGAATTTAGTCCGAAAAGCCATTTACTAGTAAAAATATATTTAAGCCCACTCTAAAACAATAGGAAATAGAAAACGGTGTATTTTATGAATAATGGACGCAATATTTACTATGGTAATACTGCAGCTGGGTTTACTTATAATTAACTATTAATAATACTATTTAGTACTTTAGATCAATAAACTTGGAAAATATTACTATCCTTTGTTTTAAAAAATATCTACATATTATTTTCATTTACAGTTTACATAGCGGTATACCGTATACGTTTTAATAAAAAATAATGTAAAATATCAAAAAATTTTAGCTGGTTTGAAGAAGGTTAATTATCTGTTAATATAATCTTTATCATTGCGTACCCTTGAATGTCTCCTCTCTTACCAAAAACACCCATTATCTATATTCGTCACGGATATTTATTATTTTATAAGTAAAATTGTATCAAAGGTAGGTATACCGTATATTATGTATAATATGTTGTCTACCCCCAAAATAGCAATCATATATTATTTGTATACCTATCTATACCGCGAGTACCTACAAGTTACAATATTATATTGTACACTTTTAAAATTTTTTTGGAACATACGGTTTGATTAGTAAACTATATTAATTTAAACTGGTCAACACAATATTAAAATGTATGTTAAGACGTTAATAGTAAGTACTAATTATTATCTTTTATAGGTAGGTAGGTACATTGCTACCACAATGTTGGAATTTGTATTAACTAGTTATTACCTAACAACATTATAATGTTGCCAAATTGTGTAATAGTTTCATTAAAAAAAAAGTTTATTTATATTAAAGATTTACGGTTCATTATTATGCATAGATTGTTAAATCATTGTATTGCATTTTACGAGACATTCAATTATTTATAATGTATGTATATTGCATTATGCATGGTCTATAGTTGGTTTAATGTTCTCTTACTGAAAATATGAAAGCCAGCCAAACAATACTTGCATTGTTTATTTATTAAAGTAAATTTTATACACAAATAATTGAAAAATTGCGTTTAAATCATATTAATTTTTGTATAAGTACATACATTTTAATTAAAAATATAAACTACTTAATAATTTGATAATTATATTGAATTATAGGTATTTTTAACACTAAACTATATACCTACGTTAAGATAGTAGATTTTACACGAACTATATTATATTAATTTATTCATCAACTGTTTAGAAATAAAATTTATAGTAATTTAAAATATGTTGGCTCTAAATATTATGTATATTTTTACCTAAAAATCAAAACCATTTTAATTAATCATATTTATTAAAGACAAATCATGTTATTATAGTATAATATGATACAGATAGCAATTTATTTTAGTTATTTATCTCGTCTTTAATGATTGTATTACTTGGTCACTGATATTTTTATATCAATATTATAAACAATATTATTTTGAAAACTAAATATTATATATATAAAAACATGGTGATTGTACTCAAAGGCAAAATTAAAAAAAACATGACAGCTACAATTGTTCGGTAATTTTTAAATAAAAATCTCAAAGGTTAGATTATTAATTTCCATTAGGTATTGAAATAATAATATAATTTTAAAGTTAAATTGGGATACATATTATGTATATGAGTTCATACTATGTGGTAGGTGGGTGGGTACGTATGAGGATTAAAAACTAATATATGAGAAATCTAATTGCATATACACAAAGGCTTTATACTCTACTCAGTATATACAATTTATATTTTTGAAAAATTAATTATTATTTGTTTAGTACATATTACGCGTGTTTATGTATTTTATTATCTCAGTTAATGATGATGACCATTTTACTTTCTAGATTTATATTGGAACAGAGGTGTAGCCAGGATTTTTTTCGGGGGGCTGATCAACTTTTACACTTTTACACATTAAATACGTAATAGCACAGCTAATAGATAGCTGAAAAGTATTAATACCTACTTATAGTACATTTTAGATTCTGAGTGGAACGATGAGTGTATTGATTTTACAATCATGTGTGTTTTCTAAATCTAAATCGATTTTGGTTATTGGTTTAACTCTAAAACAAATGAAGGCATATTCATGAAATTTTCACTGGTAGTTTATATTTGCAATTTCTATACACGATTAAATTTTCAAAACATTTTGATTTGTTTTCAGTTTTGAACTGTATATAGGAACATTTCCAGTTTCCAATTTTATTAGTCTTTTTTTCTATGAATGTCAATACAACTTTATTTGTTAGGCAAAAAAGCTTGAAAATTCAATACAAGGCTCCTATTACATTGCTACAATAGCAGTTCAAAAATATTCAAAGTCCTTAGTCACAATTTTTTTTATAAGCATTTAAAGTTCGAATTTTGACAAAATTTAATAAATATTTAGTAGTTAAAAATTTATAAAATATTCAACTTTTATACCTAAGGATTGAAAATTTAAAACGTCCACGTAAATAGGTAAATATATAAAAAAACTTTATTCACAATAATATCATCAAATATAGTAATATCATAGGCAGCCTGACCGTTTTCGCTCAGAATCGTTTTTCTTATACAATGATATTATATCATTGAATTCAAATTTAATACCATCAATTATACAGTGACCCACTAACCTAACCTAACCTACTGCACCTTTTTAAATATTTAAAATACCATTTAAGAATTTTTGAGCAACTATCATAGACCATTAAAAAAGTTTTTGTATTTTCTTTACGTTTCGGATGGGGGAGGGGGGGCTGCAGCCCCCTCAGCCCCTCTCCTGGCTAAGCCACTGTACTAGAATTATATATATTATTTATTTTTTGTTTTCAACGTTCAGTCGGACTTTTATTTTTAACATAAACCATAGGTTGTGTATACCTACATAATGTATGTTATTTTGTTAAATCATATAGTATATTATACATTTATACTTTATTAGTATTGAAAAAAAAACTTATCACAGGGTAGTTTTCAATAACATTTTCTTTTTTCGTATTTCATTGGTTTCCATTCGTTCTCGTTTGCCAGGAAACTTTTGACAGAAAGTAGCTGTTATGAAGAAAATGGCCAGCCGTTGATAGGAAATATGTGGTGGCGGTGTTTCTGCTCTTTTTCCTTTATTTTCCCTCCCTCCGCTCGTAGCTCTTTTGGGGGTTTTTCTTCTGCGCAAAAACGAGCAGCAGTTGTATAATAAAGGCATAAAAAAGAACGATTGGTGTGAACCTTTCTCCCAATGACGCTTTGTTTTTCCTCTCGGCCTTCGTATTGAATTGAAAGTACTACGGTCTATTTTACTTATTTCTTTTGAGTTTCCCATTTCATAGTTTTTTTTATTTTTTAAATTCGTTTTTCTAATCCTCGTGTATATTATTATTTCCATTAATAACGCAAATATGTTTTTTTCGTGTAGGTACTTATAATTGTACTTTTGGTGAAATTTAAAATATTTATTAAAATATTATAAATATTAAACTTGTGTAACTTCAATATTATGACGTATTATTGTGGAATACTATATTATACTCAACTGACCTGGCAAAAACGTATTGTTTTCTTCTTTTTTTCGTGAGTTGTTTGAGTTCTTTTGATGTAGGTAAGGTTACTTATGTTATTATTACGTAGGTACCTAGTAGTATGATGTTATAATGTTTGATATAACTATATTATGTAAAAACGTGAAATATAGAACAACCGTATAATTAGGAAGAAAGATGTTGTCTTTTTTTATAATCTCTTTGATACATATATAAAACACTATGACGTACGTGTTGTATGTTTTGAATATTTTAATGCTACATTTTTTTTTAATAATTGTGAATACATTTTCGTTTTCGTGAAATATTCATAATGTAAAACGTAGTTACGGTTAGTAAACGAATATTTTATTTACGTACCTATTATAGGATAGACAATACCATATATATTATTATTATTATACTGGTAGGTAACTGACTGGAATGGAAATAATATTGCTCCAATATATACTAGTGAAATCCCCTTTACGGTTGAATATACCTAAACGTAAAACCGATCTGCCCGCAAACGACGACGGCAATGACCATTTAATGTCCAACTCAATGTGCACTGTGTAGGGAGTACGTATAACGTTATAAATTATGCTGATGGTCCATCATTCTGTTCTCTATAAAATGTTCGTTTTCTCTGTTGAACGTTTAGCACTTGTAGTTGTTTACGTACAGATGCAATTCAGCTTTCCATGCCTAAAATACGACAACCATGGTTATGCAGGTTGCAGGTGAAATTCAACAAATAGTTAATGGTATATAATTTTTGTTGTATGTATATTGTACATTATGGTCAGCTTTTTTCGGGGCTTGGGCTGTTAAAATTGTTTTGAGTATTTTTCATAAAAATTCTTTAAATACACAAATTAAGATTTCTCACTTGGATTTTCTGCGAACAATTTACGGAAGCAGGGTAAATTTTGGTATGGTCTTTATGGATACACATTCCCTAATAATGTGTATTCATAAAGGCCATACCAGAAATACCTTTCTACCCTTTTTTCATAAATGTTTACTACAATATATTTTGAGAAATCATGTCATACATAAAAAAAAAAATTTTAATTATAGGTTGGTTTGGCCTACCTTTCTAGAAGTTATAAGTTCAATAAAAATATGGTGATAAATGTCAAACGTGTGTAACAGGGCTGCTATTGTGATGTGAATATTAGTTTTGTAGTGAAAGGTTTAATGATTGATTTTACCTAGGTATTGATAATTTTTGTTAAATTAAATTTTATATGTAGCCCAGTAAATACAATACATGAGCATATTATAATGTGATAATTTTGAAGATAGTCTAAAATCTAAATGTATATAATATAAATGACATTTTTTCTATTATCCCTAATTAAAATGTCAAGATTTATATGAATCATTTTTTTAATATTTTATACTGTTATCTTATAAAAACGTTTAATTTTATAATTTGTATACAATTTTTAAAATACTAACTATCTAGTACAAATAAAATTGGTAATTAAAAATAATAAAAAATAATACATATAAGAACATAATATAATTATTGATCATATTGAAATATAAAATATATAGAGTGTAATGTCGGCATTGAAGTTGGGTTTGGTACGACAGGTGCAGTACCTATAAATATCTGGCTGTCCTTCTACAGAAATCGTACCAAATGTCCAACTATACTATGTCCATGATCCGGATAAGTGGACCTCACGTGACATTATAATGTTATTTTCAGTTACCTAAAAGTTGTGAGTCTGACAATAACTTGCAGCCCCACATGATACGAGTATACAATCGGTTGGAGATGTATTATAGTATTTTATAATATAAGACACTCGGTGGCTCCGTCGTAATTAGTCGCTGGTCTGCATGTGCAACTTCCGACTACTGAATTACTCAATAATAATAATAATAATAATAATAATGATATTATAATGTGTAAACCAACATGTAGATCAATATAAATAACATGAACATGGGTAGACGTCAATAACAATCACGACAAGCATTATAATAATATTGAAGAGCATTCTCTATTTACCGGCGTTCTGTGTTATAACAACTTCCGGTACCTATTAATACGCGTCTAAAGGAAAGCAAAAAACCAATAATTATTATATTATGAACGTTTTAACACCCGACCGATACGGTTAAATCTAATTTGCTGTCATTCATAAAATGGTACTCACTCGGTTGCGAGTATAATTGAAATTTTATACTGCGTAGTATCATAAATAATGAACACAAATGTTATACTGTTATAACCTAAAGGTAATCATTATAATATGTATACCATCATTATGATATCCAAGTATCCAACCAGCTATTTTTATCATCGGACTTTTTATACATTAATATATTTGTATTGTTCGACGCCTTCCACATCGTTTTTTTTTTTAAAACATAATAAATATACGTATTCGTATATAGATGATGAGACTTTACGATCACGATGAGAACCTTGTTATATTATATAGAAATCTGGTCGATTTTCTGGTTTCTTTAAAAAATATTATTTTTCTACCATATATACTAGGTGTCTTGGAAATTTTTCGATTTCATAGCTCCTTTAACTGACAATTTATTTTGACTAGAGTAAGAAAATAATAATATCATACAAAAGAAAATAATTTAAACTAGTACTTGGTATAAACATTGTAATTGAATATTAATATTGCATTTAAATTTTAAATTTATTGATTTAAAAATGTTAATATTAAAATAAATTACCATTTTAAAATAAAATATTACAATATACATTTCATATAAACATTTAAAACCATTATGTTTATAATATATTTTAGTATATTATACTATCTACTGAAATGGTGCTATTTTGCCTATACATTACGCCGTGATAGTGATTCCGTTCAGTCACTTAGACGTCAAGTTGTACAACAGGTGCATTGTGATCAAAAATTCCAAAATAATAATAAATATTTACAATCGAATACTCTACTCCAATACTCCAGCTAAGTCGCATTTGCTGACATTTCTTCAACAGTTTTTCAACGGTTGTCGGTAGTTTTTCGGTTACTGAAGAGTACTGTTTCAATTATCATCTTCCAGACTCAATTTTCGATTTATAAAGGTCTTAAAAAAATAATTTTGTTCAATTTTTCTGTCTAAAATGTGCATTGAAATAATATATTAAAAATAAAATAAAATCATTAATACATTCATAGTTTTTCTTAGAATATAATATACTCTTACTAGTAAAATAATAACAATAATACAAATAATAATAATAATAAAAAAAAAAAAAAACAGTGAGGAAACAGATGCCACACAAACTCATAATTTATTTATTTATTTTTATTTAAAATGGTTCCATCTCTATATTAGTAATAACCGATTTATTAGGTAGGTACTGAATCATATTTTAGCCGATTTATTTAGACACCTCCTGTCGTTGGAAGTTTGAAATTACTTTCAAGCTAAGAAACTCAGAATTAAGAGAAATATCTTTGTATGCATACAACCACGATATTGAATTTAAATTTATTTCTGTTAAAATGAATAGGAACTTAAACAGGAAATAATGATTGGATTATTGTTTATTTGGTACAATATTTTAAGATATGGGCTTGGCATTATAATTTCTGTACATTTTATAGTATTTAATTACCCAGAGGTTTTATTGTAGTGCAAGTTTAGTTTACCTACGTAATTGGTTTCCCATCAGATATCATTTAGTTCAATCTTTGAAATGGTGTAATTTTAATTATCAATAGAAATATTTGAATGAATTAAATATTTTGTACTATGTTATAAAATGAGTCTTATTTGTTAGTTGGATCTGTATAATACGTATATCAAGTATTATATTTATTCAGTTAAACATGGTACGAAATTCAAGTATAAATGATAGGTATTGGTTGTATAGAAGTTATTTAGACAAATTGCATTTTAAAATTCAATCTTACAAAATATGGTTATAATATACATATTCTATTAGATAGTAATAACTATGTAACAGCTTTTATTTTATTTGAAAATTTGTGCAGTATAAAAATAAATATGTATTATAATGAATAATATAAAATGTTTTAAAATAACTGCAGTGTACCTGGATACTGAATTTATTTTTTTTCATAGCGTAACGCAAATTATAAATTGCGAAAAACATATTATAAAATTCATAAAAAAACTAACAAATAATAATTAATCATTTAATTCTAAGTATTTTTAGTAGTATTTAAGTATTAAGATATTTCCAAAGAAAATTATAATGGAATGTTTATAACTACTTTATCGAAATTTGTTGTAAATACTTATAAAAAATATATTGTATATTTTATATTAAACAATTTTTTTTAATATCTTAATAATAAAACTTGATAATATAAAATATGATCTTAGGGTATATTATAGAAAAAAGTTTATAATATGCATATAAATGTATTAATTATTTGGGATGGATTCATTATAACACTATGCAGTCTAACATAGATTGTACGAATCGTTGACAAAAAGCAGCTGAACTAGTAAAGCCTTTGCGTGGATAGTACCATGGGCCATGGCTGCTATAGTGGAGAAGGTCTCGAGATAGATATTTCAAAACGATAACAAGCGTTGTATAGCTTCCACACACAGTTATTGCATGCTCTGTCGCAGTTAGACTTAAACTTACGGTAAAATCATAATAAACGCAGATAAGTATAACAGAAATCGATGAGATTATGTCATATATTGCGATTTTTTTCGAATACGTAGGTAATGTATTATTGATGATAAAAACAATTTTTTGTATTTTTTGTATTTTTAATATTTATGTTTTTGTTCTTAAGCACGTGGTGCATGCTTAGCATGGCTA